TCAAGAACAATTAAGAACTCAAGATAGAAAGAATTCACTCACTCTCAGAAATAACAGTCATATGCCACAATAAATGTACCATAGGCTTGCCCCGTAGTATAGTACTCGACTAATCAAGCTTATTCAGTCAAAGATCAAGTAGGACTTTATTTGGTTGTAATGTAGGTTGTGGGATGGATAGGATACATTTGGATATAATAGTGACTACACCTCCCTAAGAACTTTAATACATAGAATTAAACGTTCAAAATCCTACACTTATGTCAAACCATAACATCACCTTCACATCAATATACATCAACTCCCTACTTCTTTAAGAACAATTACATCAGGTGTTACCACTATCAAGGAATATTTTTCACAATCATAGAACTATTTTTTCTGTTTTTTCTTTTTCAATTCAAGTGGCTCTTACTTTTCAAAATAATGCACCTTTCTTTTTATTTCAATAGTTCCACTCAAAAGCCAAACCAACACCCCGCACTTTAACTTTTACAAAGTTCATAACAAATTCAAGTGCTCACGAGAGGTAAAAGGTTCAAATAGATGGTCAATTCAAATAAATGGGTAAGGATTATAATGTGGTTACCAAAGAAAAAGGATTACATGATCAAAGGGGTTAACTATGCCTATATCACTTCCAAGACTGAACAAAACTACTATTTCGCTTAACCTTTCCTTGAATTATGGTTGAGGGCCGATAGGTGTTTGTTCGAGCTTAGTCGAACTTGACCTATTGTCAAATAGCGGTCAAGGGCGGCAGGTGTTGTTCGAACTTAACCTTTTGTTAAATCGCAGTCGAGGCTGGTAGGTGTTGTTCAAACTGGATCGAACTTAACCTTTTGTTAAATCGCGGTCAAGGGACGGTGGGTGTTGTTCGAAATGGGTCTAACTTAACCTTTTATTTGAACTAGGTCGAACATAACCTTTTATTAAATCGCAGCCAAGGACCGATTGGTGTTTTTCGAACTGGGTCAAACTTAACCTTTTGTTAAATCGAGGCCGAGGGTCGGTAGGTTTTGTTCGAACTGGGTGGAACTTAACCTTTTGTTAAATCGCGATCGAGGGTCGTTAGGTGTTGTTTGAACTGGGTCAAACTTAATATTTTATTAAATCGCGGCCGAGGGCCGGTAGGTGTTGTTCAAGCTTGGTCGAACTTAACCTTTTGTTAAGATGGTTTTGATAAATATAAGTTTTTGTTACTTTGATGTTGTTGCTCAAATTACATAATTTGAGAAAGTTACAAACTTTGGGCATTGTCTGGCATTCCAGTCCCAGTCTCGGGTCTATCCAGCCCCTTCATTGTTCAACTTGGAGAGTCTTGAGGAGTTAGGCAATGAAAGAAAAATCAGTCTGTTCTTCGCATACTTTGACTCGAAGCGTCCCTTCCGTAGCCTCATTAAAAACCTCCTTGAGAAAACCCTAATGGGACAAAACTCAAGTGAGGGAAAAAGAGTACCACTTGTGAGGGAGCTTCTTCCTTTTAGAAGTTGAAGTATTTGAGATGGTTGATATTCCAATTGTTTGGTAGTTGTTTTTCTTTCATTGTCTCTAGTAAGAATGAACCCTTGTTTGCTTTGGCTATAATTTTGTACGAACCATCCCAGTTTCCCTCCCTGTGATCTCTACTTGCATGGGTTTTGGCTTTGAGTACGTAATCCCAGACTTTGAGCGGCCGAACCTTTGCATTTTTATTGTAGTAACATTCCGCTTGCTGCTTTTGGCCGACCATTCTTATGTACGCCATGTCTCTTCGTTCATCGATCTCATCGAGCTCTTGCCTTCTACTCTCATCATTGCTAGTTCCACTTTCATGGGGGTTCTTAAGATGGGCTCTTTGACCTCGACTGGTATAACTAATTCAGTCCCGTAGACCAGAGAATAGGGTGTCTCTCATGTGCTTGTCTTCGGGGTGGTTCTATACGCCCATAATACATCTGGGAGTATTTCCGGCCATAGTCCCTTGGCTTCTTCGTATTTTTTCTTCATGATGGTTAATATAAAATTGTTGGAGGATTCTGTCTGCCCATTGCCCGTTGGGTGATAAGGGGTTGAAAGTATCCTCTTAATGTGCCATTTCTCGAGGAATTCGGGAGTTTTCTTTCCCGTGAACTGGGGTCCGTTGTCGCAGCCGATCTCCTTGGGTTGGCCGAATTGGCAGATGATGTTTTTCTATATAAAGGCGATTACCTCTGGTTCGCGTATTTGGGCGAACGCTCCTTTTCCACCCATTTAGAGAAATAATCAGTTAAAACTAGAAAACATCGCACATACCTCGCCCTACCGGGAGGGGGCCCACGATATCCATTCCCAATTTGATAAACGGCCATGGGAAGGTGACCGAGTAAAGGTGTTAGCCTGCTTGGAGAATTATTGGGGCATAGTTTTTACATTGTTCGCACTTCCTTACAAATTCTGAGGCGTCTTTTTTTATAGTGGGCCAGTAGTATCATGCCCGTATGAGGCACCTAACGAGTGCTTGATTACTAGAATAAGCGTCGAATTGGCCTTCATGGACTTCTTTGAGAATGCGTTGGGTTTGGTTTGGACCGAAACATTTCACTAGAGGGCCACCGTATGTTCTCTTGTACAAATCGTTCTGAAGGAGGTTGCATCTAGCCGCTTGTATTCTCAGTTTTTTGGCTTCTTTTTGTTGTTTGGGAGTGTCTCATCCTACAAGTAGGTAAGTAGGTGATAATACAATTATGCCAGTCCCAAGTTAAACATACAGATCTTACCTCAATTTGGTCTATGACGAGTAGAGGAGGTGGACTACACTTTCATCCCCAGTGGTGATGCTTTTGGTGGCTGCGACCAATTTGGTGAGGCCGTCTGCTTCGATATTCTAGGCTCGCGGGATCTGGTCAAGCTGACATTCAATGAAATTGGGGAACAACTTACAGATCTCGGTTGATATTTTTGCAACCTTTGTTCTTTGATTTAAAAAGTTCCTCTGACTTGGTTGACTACGAGCTGTGAATCACAGCGGAGATTCAACCGCCTCGCCCCATATTTGAGTGATAGTCTCAACCCTGCAATTACGGCCTCATACTCGGCCTTGTTGTTAGTCATATCCGGGCATCTTATGGACTGGGAAATTACTTTACCGGTGGGAACCTTGAGTACTAGTCCCAGTCTGAATCCAGAAGTATTAAATGCACTATCGGTGTACAAGACCCTGAGGTCTTGTGTTTGAAGAGAAGATTGAACGGCTTCCTTCTTGACCTCAGGAATTATCATTATGATGAAGTCTGTGACGAAGTCGGCGAGCACTTGCGACTTTATCATTGTTCGTGACTGATATGTTATGTCATGCTCTCTTATCTCGATGGCCCACTTAGCCAGCCTCCCCGATAATTCGGGTCTATGTAAAGTGCTTCTTAAAGGAAATGTGGTAACGACCGAGATAGGGTGGCACTGTAAATAGGATCTAAGCTTCCTTGAAGCTACGACCAGTGCTAGGGCCAGTTTTTCGAGGTGTGGGTACATCGTCTCGGCATCGATAAGTTTTTTATAAGTGTAATAAATAGCAGATTGCATACCTTTATCTTCTCGCACCAGGACCACACTTACTACTGGTTCGGATTCGATGAGGTAGACGGAGAGGTGTTCCCCGGGTTCAGGCTTTGAGAGCAGAGGTTGTGATGATAGATACGCATTAAGTTCTCGTAGAGCTTGTACGCAATCGGGCATCCACTTGAGGTCGTTATCCTTTCTGAGTACGCCAAAAGATCTGTGACATCTGTCGGACGACCGCGAGATACATCTCAATACGGCGGTGATTCGGCTAGTCAAAATTTGGACCTGCTTCTTTGTAGTCAGTTGTTCGGGTATCCCGTCGATAGCCTTGATTTGGTCCGGGTTGACTTCGATTCCTTGTTGTGATACTAAGAAACCCAAAACAATTCTTGAGGCTACGCTAAATGCGCATTTCTCTGGGTTTAGTTTCATCCCGTACCGTCTTAGTATGTCGAAAGCTTCCCGTAAATGGTCGATATGGTCTTCTGCCCTTACGGATTTGACCAGCATATCGTCGATATATACTTCCATTATTTTGCAGAGTTGGTCTTTGAATATTTTTGTGACCAATCTTTGATAGGTGGCTTCTGTGTTCTTCAACCCGAATGGCATGACTCTATAACAATACATTCCTCTTGGGCATGATTTGTTTAAGTCTGTAAAGTCTACACACATCATCTATTTACCATTTTTCACCACGTTGGCTATCCACTTGGGGTATTTCAACTTCCTGATTAAGCCATTTTCTTATAGCTTTTCTACCTCATCGTGGATGACATCATTGATTGTGGGGTTAAACTTTTGTCTGATTTGCCTTACAAGGGGATATAATGGGTTGACATTCAACATGTGTGTGGCTATCTCCTTGGGGACGTCTGGCATATTTGTATGGTAGAAGGAAAGCAAATATGAGTTAATTATTAAAACTTGACTAAATTTACCTAGTTCTCTGAGTAAGCAGCCGATGTAGGCCTTTTTACCGAGGTCGCTGGGATCTAATTTAACGGGGTCGAGGCCCTCTATAGTCGAGTCCGCGGCCTCGACCGTTTCAGGTTTGTGATGATGTCCCTGGTCTCTTCTTGTGTCGACCTCGACTCTGTTGATTGATATGATTTTTTTTTCCTTATATTTCTTTTGTTGGGTCGTCGAGCTATCCATGCCGATGTGGTAGCATTCCCGGGAAGTGCGTTTTTCCTCGTGTATGCTGAATATTCCCCAAGGTATTTTGAACTTGATCACTTGGTATAAGCTGGAGGGGACGGTATGGGATATATCCATGGACGTCCTCCTATGGCATTGTATATGGTGGCCTGGTTGTTGATGTGGAACGTTGTCTCTAGAGTTATGATGCCGGCAAGGACGGGTAGTGTAATTTCTCCCGAGGTCCGTTCAACTGCATTGTTAAAACCAGTTAGTGTGATGCAGCATGGTACTATCTTGTCCTCGAGTCTCATCTGGGCGAAGACTCGGGGATGGATAATTCACGCTCCACTCCCATCATCCACCATGATACGCTTAACATCAGTATGTGAAATTCGTAAAGTAATGATAAGAGCATCGTTGTGAGGGAAAGTCAAACCATCGGCAATTGACTTGTCGAAGATGATACTTTCCTCGAGTCCATCATACCTTTCATGGGTGATCAATATTTTGAGATTGTGATTAGCGGTGAACTTGATACCATTGATGGGGGCATCGTCATTGCTGCCAATAATCATATTGATGGTGTGGGCCGGTGAGGGCAGCTTTGGCGGGCCTTGACGTTCTTGACCCCTGGCGAAGGTGTTCGTTCCCTTGTCGCTCAGTAGATCTTTGAGGTGTCCTTGCTGCAACATGTTCACAACTTCTTGCCTCAGGGCAATGCAATCCTCTGTCTTGTGCCCGCGTTCCTGGTGAAATTCACAGAGGGCGTTAGATTTTCTAGTATTTGGGTCGGACCTCATATTTGGCGACCACTTCACCTTTATTCCGAGTTTTTCTAGGGCGTAGACTATTTCTGTAGGTGAAACAAAAAGGTTGTGAGCATATAATAGGGGGAATTACCTCTCTCATTCATATGAGTCCCCATTCTCAGCCTAGATGGACCCTCATCATAGCGGGAGGAATAAGGGACGGGGGCCTTGACGTAAGGCTGATGTCGTTCTCTGTTCGGCCGTGAGATTAGGTGATCCCTCCTCATGTTATCTCTTCATTCTCTCTTGGTTCAGTTTGTACCGAGCTGAGCCGTCAGGCTGTCCCATTGAGGTCGTCATTATCTGCCCGGACTTTGGCAGAATAAGCATTATGGATTTCGTCCCAAGTGGTCGGAGGATACTTCATCGACCAGCTCAACAGCTTTCTGGTCGCTCTTGAACCCTCTCTACTCAACCTATTCTTAAAAGCCTCGACTGCCATCCCTTCGGATACATTTGCTAAGGGCATCCTTAATATGTTGAAACGGGCGAGGAAGACCCTTAGTCCCTCTCCCAAGGATTGCTTGATGGCAAAGATGTCGTTTACTCTTGTTTCAGATTTCTTGGCCCCGGCATGCGTCGTCACGAACTTATCGGCCATTTCTTTGAAGGTTTCTATGGAGTGGGATGGTAGTTGTGAATACCATGTTAATGCCCCTCGAGTGAGGGTTTCGCCAAATTTCATCAGCAAAATAGAGGACACTTGTTCCTTGGTGAGACCGTTAACCTTCATGGCGGTGACGTAATGAGTCATGTGATCTTCAGGATCGGTTGTTCTGTCATATATCCTGAGATACGTTGGCATTTTGAAGGTATTTGGTATGGTATATGGGGCTTCTTCCTCGTTGTACGGCTACTCTACGAACCTGCCGGTGTCCCTCATCGGCAGTAGCTTAGGGGCGCCTGGTATCTTTTTGACTCGTTCTTGGTGTTCTTTCATTTGGTCACTAAGCATTTTGTTCTCATTCTCCAATTCTTCCATTCTCTTCAGAACAACGACGAGGATGTCATCACCTACACTGTTAGTAACATTGTGAGTTATACCTGGGATTGGAGGTCAGGTTGATCGCCCTGTTCGTCTCCTCGATGTACCGTATGGGCTCTTGCGGTCTCTATGGTCGTGCATGGAGCTTGTTTGTTGAGCACGCTTACTAATGTATCGTTCAACCACGCTTAGAGGAGTTTTTTCATGGCTGATGGTGTACCTTCTCCTGTGGACGTGGATGCCTCTTTTACATTTGGTTTTATTGTGCTACAATGGGGAGAAGCGACCTCTCGTGTATGGGAGAGGAAGTGGATGTCACGTCATCGTCCAACGTTTCATAACTCTCGTTTATAGCATTCATGAGGTTGTCGGGGATGTCACCTGTCACCTTATTTCTGTCTCCCTTGTTACCTGCCATGTAAATTTATGTACGTGTAGAGAAGGAAAAAACCTTGTGGTTTGCTTGGTTAGTATATCACGTGAGTTGTAGATCTAACGAAAACTAAAACATTAGCTAAGAAGTCCCCACAGACAGCGCCAAACTGTTTGACCCAAAATTTAGATCTGGCTTAACCAGTTAGATTTAATAAAATAGAGTCAATCTTAGCCAATATTAATGTCCAAAAGATACGTTAACTGATGTTGTAAGAAGATGATATGTAGATTATCTGAATAGCAATAAATATTGACAACACTAACGATATCAATGACCAAAAAAGAAGGGGGATAACAATAAATATCAATGAATGACATTAAAGTAAATAAGAACGTGTGAGTCACCCGAAAAGGGATAAGATCTATGGATATTCCTTCTGAGAATGCTAAATGATTGATAAATATTCGACTGTTCAGATTGTTCTTGGATCGGGTGGAAAAGTTAGACAAGAATCTTAGAAAAAAGGTATTTGTTATATGTTTGCAATAAAACCAAACTTAATATTGAAAGTCAATGTCTTTTCTTACAAGTGTATATCTTCAGTTAACCCAAAAATAAATTTTACGGTCAAAGCTAATATTAAGAAAAAATCGGGTTACTGATAACCAAAATTACTTCACTTTCTTGGAAATTCAAAGAATAAGGAAAATAATGGAAATAATAAGTAAGGAAAAAAAGCTTATTGTTGATTGCTAATCACTCCCAGTATTGCGTATTGAACAATTGAATCGCATAAAGTAAAAGACTGATTGTATATATTGAAAGATATTCAGATGCCGGTACAAAATGAGGTATAAATCCTTATATAAGGACACATAATTGTTACAGTTTCCTTACTTAATTCTGGCCCATTATTGGCATTACTTACCTTGATTTCCCGTTACCATATTTAATTGTAACGGTTACAATAATAACTGAAGATAGCCTGTAATCAAAGTTAATGTTGATTCATGTTCCATGTTTATAACAAATTCGTGAATCTTCTCCTTTTTCAGTCTTCATTCATCTCGTGCCTAATTTTTCTTTATCAGTTGTTAGGACCGGTATCTCTTCTTCATCCGTGCCTTTTTGTTTTCCTTTATTGACTCAACTCAAAGTGCCCCTTGTCACCTCATTGATGGCCCATGTGTCATACCTTTTTTCCACCAATACAGATAGTCTCCCCCACATTCTAAATATTCTCAACTGAATATTCGGGAAGCGGTAAGTTTTTATGGCGGGAATATCTTACCACCTTTTCCCAATTATCATAATTCCTTATTTAGAATCGATGAGACATACGTCATGTCTATTTAATGCTCAAGACACGTGTCTCGTTGCAATTGGTTCTGCAAATTTCAGCGCCTTTTAAGGGTTCTTCTGCGGCTGTATCAGTCATGAAGTGACAGTTCCATGATAATAGTTCATAATGACCATCTCTGATGATGGTTATTTTCCCCTATAAATACCTCATTACACTCAACTTTAAAAATTCCCTTCTTCTTTCTTGCATTCATACTTCTAACTTCTCTTGTAGTTCTTCTTCTTTCATGTGTACCTTCACCATTAAAGATGGCTTCTCATTTGTTAAACCCTTCTTCGTCATCAGACCCTCGTAAGGTAGTGCATTGACGAACTCCATCCCTCTTCTACCCCTACTAGGAGTAGAAGAGGTGGCAGACTGTGTAGCTTAGGTTCTTGGTCTACTCGTAGTTCTACATCTTCTCAAAGTGGTACTTCCAAACCTTCTTCCTCTAGCGCTAGAACTTCCATAACTATTAGATCTTCCTCTAGAGGGAGAGACCCTAATGAGCCCATGTAAGAACCCATTGTATCTGAGATTGTCCCACAAGAATTTTTCTTTATATCAGATTGTGAAGCTGTGAGAAAACAGGTTTCCTCCATAGCATCACTTAACCCTGCTGATCATTACCCTCCTTGCCTTGGTTCGACGTGAATGCCATTGGAAACCTGATTTTCCAGTGATGACCCCTAGTGATGATGATAGAATCACATCTTACCATGAAGGTTATTCTTTTGTTTACACCTACCCTTTCACCTTCGGGTTTACCCCTCCTATTGATCTCGTGATCATTGAATTTTGTCAATATTTCAATGTGTGTCTCGGTCAATTAGGTCCGATTGTGTGGAGGGAAGTTGCTTGCCTTCACTACTTGTCAGGTTTAGTTTCCGCTACTTACTTCACCAGTACTCCCCAAAACCTATTCGTGAGGGTATTGTTTTATCTCGTGGCCAGAAGTAAAAGAGTTTTAGTCAGCCCCGAGGATGATTGTCACCATAGTTGGTACGCTCGATTTGTTGATATTCCCACTCGTGAGTTAGTGGGTAATGAGAATATTCCCTTTCCTGAGAAGTGGAACTTTGCACGTAAGTATTCTTTATTTCCTTGTTTCTCTCGACGTTTCAATTTTCCTCACATAAGTATATGTTTATTTTTCAGCAACCATGAAAGTCTTCACCAAAATTCCTGACTTCTGTGATTGGGTAGAAAAAATGTTTACTGCTGCTCCCATGGACAAGAGATCTTGGAAATTTCTTTCACCAAAATTTGGATGAAAAGTGAAGATCCGCAATATAATTTTATTCCTATGGTTCTCATTCTATTTGTTCATTCTTTTCTTTTCCTTTGATATTTTTTTCTTTTGCCGTTTTTAGGGTTTTCCATTTGTGGCATCAGCCCTGCTTCTGTTCCTTCTGCTAGGCTTTCTGTTAGCTCTGCACATGAACAAATTTTAAGTGTATCTTCCTCTAATAGGAGGAATGTTGAAGCCCGTGGCTCTGAAGATAAAGAGGATAATGAAGAAGGTTCCTTAGTGAGGAAACCACAAGTCAGAAGGCATGTGGTTTCAGATGATGAAGCCCATGTTTCTCAAGACCCCCCTACGGCTTCTGTACCTTTTAACCTTGTTGATGAGCCAGAGAGTGTCCACTTGGACATCTTTGATGAAAATGTTGATCATTTTGATAACCCCCCCCCCCCCTTCATGTCCCGTTGATAGATTCTTTACCCAAGGATTTGAGGGTGAAGAATATTTTGGCCTTGTTTTAGAGGAGCCACCACTTGTCTCTCTTTCGATGACCTCAGTTATCCCTGTTGCCAATTCTTCTATTTCTTCCACTTTCTTACCTACAACCGCTCTGGTTGTTATCCCTGCCGATGCTTCTCGTGAAGAAGGTGATCCTTCTAGCGGTAGACAGGGCATGAATAAGGTTTTGATTGAAGTCCCCGATGGTGGGAATCTATTAAAGAAATCAGAACAGACCGTTGTATGGTTGAGACCATTACTTGGTCCCGTGGAAAGGAAGAAACTTGAGTCCCAAAGCTCCATGACTTTGATGATTGATATTATTTATTCTTCTCTCAAAGTATATTCCTATCTTCTTATTTTCCTTCCCTTTCTTTCATGTTTGTAACTCCCTTTCCTTGTCTTGTTCTAGATCAATTTGACAGGAACAGAGCTTATGAGGAGAATTTCTTGGACTGATCAACAAGTGATTGAATTGTGCACCGAGGCTGATAATTGGAAGGAGCAATTTGAAAGGCAATTTAATGGAGCTCTAGAACAACAATTAAAGATAACCACCACCGAATTAGCGATTTTGAAAGCTTCCTCCAATCACGTTTAAAAGGACAAGTATAGATTGGAATCTTCCTTCACTGAGCAACACTCAAAGGCAACTGAAAAAATTAGAAGCTTGAAAGAGCTCCTAAACCAGGAAGAGGTGTATGCAGGTGATTTAGTGCGGATGCTCACCCAAGCTAAAGAAGATCTCTGTGCCTTATCTGACAAGATTTAGTTCCTTGA